GGCTTGGTTACTTGTGCTGGGCAAAACACTATTGTGTAACTTTACGCTTAAAAACAAAAATAATAATAACAACCCATTTCTTATCCTCCCTCCAGCTTTATAACTACTTGGCTTTTCCTTAGGAGAACCAATATGTGAAAAAACAGATCAAAATTGATTTGGGAAGAAAATGAAGAACTAACACTTAACAAAAATGCGAATGCAAGCCGATAGAGACAACACACGATAATTCACTCCGAATTAGCAAAAGAAAAGTGCTAGCTCTAAATTGACGTTAGAGTACTTTATTTATATATATGTGTTTCTTTCAATCTTAAAATAAGAAAGAAAAAAACGTCCAATTTTGAAAATTCACGAGAGCAGTAAAACGCAGTAGGGTATGATTAAACTGCCTGTTGTTATAAACTTTTAGGTTCATTTTACATTTAGCCTTAATTTGGGGTGCTGATGCGTGTTTACCAGTCTGTTCCTTTGCTCAGGCGCCCGGCATGGCTAGGTTGTTAGGGCACTCGACTCGCAATCTGCGGGTTCGAATTCCTGTCACACCAAACATGCTCGCCCTTTCAGCCGTGGGGGCGTTATAAGTTACGGTCAATCCCACTATTCGTTGGTAAAAGAGTAGCCCAAGAGTTGGTGGTGGGTGGTGATACTAGCTGCCTTCCCTCTAGTCTTACACTGCTAAATTAGGGACGGCTAGCGCAGATATCCCTCGTGTAGCTTTGCGCGAAATTCAAAACAAACAAACAAATACTTTGCTCAGATCAGACCTGATCAACAAAAATGAACGAAAGTTTCAGACGAATGCCAACTTTTTTTATTTTTGTTTATTTTTTATAAATTAAAGATTTCAGAAAAGCGATAAATGAACTATAATAAAGTTCTTGTACAAATAACTTCAGATATCCATAGGTTTATATTTGATAAACCTAGCAGGGTTCCGAATGACAATTTTTCTTTTTGTTGCCAATATAAAATTCATTTTCATTAGCAATCATTGTTTTGAACATCATTTTGTAATTACGTTAATATAGGTTTTAAAATGTTTTTTTTATGAAAAACATTGCTGTCAGAGAAAATTGATTTTAAAATTTACAAGGAAATTCAAGTGTGTGTAATATATATATATATTAAATTAACAGTCTCACATAATTATTTAGTGACTATACTAATTTTTACTCGCTTCCTTCGATCGTTGGTAATACATCAATAGTTATGCAATGTAAACAAATGTGTATTAATCTAAATGCTCAGTTATAAACCAGTGACGTGACTTCTCACAAACTTGGTCTCGGAGTTTCAGTAATTCTTAACTTTTTAATTGGCATTTGGTTAATAGGTTTTAAACAATAATTTTACATTTTGTTGAATTTATATATATATATAAAGCGAACTGCATTTTATTTATTTATATTAAATATATAAATGTTTCAAAATAAATAATACGAGCAATCATATGCTTCATATAGTTTGGCCCACCTTTCGAAAGCGCTCTGGTTATAGGGTTTTATCATTTCTTATAAATACTTCTTGAACCTACGTGTTTTTCTGACAACATGAATTCTGTATATATTCAAATCTTTATTACTTGAAAATTCAGTAATTTAGAAATCGAAAATAACGTTCATTTTGAATTACAATTATTAATTTTGATTAAGTTTCCTTATAAAATAATATATGCATTAATGTATCAAGATATATATTTTCAGATCATTGTCCTCTAGTTTCAATTCGTATTATTTTATTTTGAACCAGAGTATTAATTTAATTCACTGGGGCACAAGATGTTTAAGTTAAATGTCGATATGAACACCTCAGCAGTGACATTACTATGGCGTTCACAATGTAACTTAAAAAAACGACAATGTAGAATTAAAATATAAATAGAACATTTCTCTCCTGGTGGCTCAGCAGTAAGTTTAAGGGCTTATAACACTAAAATCTTGTTTCGATTCCCAGCGGTGAACAAAGTGCCGATTGCCTATCTTTAGTTTTTAGCTTAGCAACAACATCTTATTCTGAATGCTCGAGTGAACGTTTTTTTATTAGGCTTTACGAATTATTAATAAGTATGTTTTAAAGAACACACATGGCCCGGCATGGCCAGGTGGTCAGGGCGCTCGACTCGCAATCTGAGGATCGCGGGCTCGAATCCACGTCACACCAAACATGCTCACCCGTTCAGCCGAGGGATCGTTATGATGTAACGGTCAATCCCACCGTTGGTAAAAGAGTAGCCCAAGAGTTGGCGGTGGGTGATGATGACTAGCTGCCTTCCCTCTAGTCTTACACTGCTAAATTATGGAAGGCTAGCGCAGATAGCCCTCGTGTAGCTTTGCGTGAAATTCAAAACAAACAAACAAACAATAAAGAACACACAACGCGATTTAACGCTAAACAATGGGATAGAAACAAGGCGAGATGAAACAGTGAATTTTAAAACAATTAAATGAGTTGTTGTTTTAAGGTAATTTTAGGCAGTACAAGTATGGTAGTTTTAGATTTAAGAGACTGCTCTTATTTGAATAAGACTTCAGTATAAAGAAAGAAACTTCGTTCCACTCTGGAAATATGTAGAAGCAGTCTATTAGAGACAAAACTATACCAGTTAAGCGGATTATTTTATACGGTTCAAGCAAAATTAGTTAATTTACTTAAAATAATTGAATATTATAGTGTACATTATTATTTAAAAAAATAAGTTGTAACTTCTTTAATTCAGTAAATTAATTAAAACGTAGAAAATGATGCAAAATTTATTTAGATTTTTGAATCAATCCAAACAATTCATTATCTTAAAATTTGAAAAAGACACAAGTAAATCATAAAAACGAAGAGAAACTATTCAATTGTAAAAAGAATTTTTTTTATTTACTCCATGATGTTACTTTGTTCCCAAATTAAAAATTAACTTGTTTTCAACTTGGACTCTTTCAAAAAGAAAAAAAAAACACCCCGAAATTTAGGGCTTTTCTTGCGTTACAAATGTAACGGTCAAATTCCAATATCATGCCTGACAAGAGTATCTCAAGAGTTGGCTGTGAATGGATAGATAGATGCCTTCCATCTAGCCTATCACTTCAAATTAGCAATGGCTAGTGGATATATCCATCGTATAGCTTTGTGCAAAATTCAGCAAAGTAATCGATATAAGTGAAGTGACACATTTAGGACATGCTGGAGTGTTTGCTTTACTACGCCCTAGGCCCAAGGATTACGTGAATCAATAACGAAATTTAGGATTCAAAGGGTGTTTATAAAATTGGATGTGAATGTGGTTGTTAAAACCAATAATGAAAACTTGCAATAGCTAAATATGCAAATTATACTGGTCATGTCATCCAGTGAGAGAAAATTGTTTTTGACTCACCCGAATACTATGACAGCTAGAAATATTAGAGAAACTATAGAAATAATGAAACACAGTAAAATTAATTATATTGTTACGTCTCTGTATGTTTGTTTGTTAATTCTTCTAAGATACAAGTCCTTTCTTTATAGAACTTGTTTATTCTTCCTCAATACAACTTCGTAATGTACTTAATTTTCACAGTTACACACACTATAGTTCACAAAAATTCACTCACTTTCTATCGCGCTTAGACTTAATTGTCCGTCCCCGTAAACTATAGTTTCGATCTCTGTGTCTGCTATCCTCAGTTCCCGCCGACCGTAATCGCCGTCTTTCTTTCTCTCTGCCTGCTTCGTCTCTGCCTCCGTCTGTCTCTCTCATTGTCCAGCGCACTTATATACGATAATACTGTCTGTTCTAGAAACTTCTAAGACTCTCAACACGTGCTACCAGCGTCACTTGATTTCCGCTGCCGTAACACACTAGCGAATCTTCTAGAATACTTGTCACGTGACCCCCACTGCCGTAACAATATTTTAAATAAGGATGAAGGGTTGGAAAATCAGAAACTATGTAGATGGCTGCTGTGGGTCGTGGGGTTTGTTTTTGTTTGAAATCCAAGTGACTCTTGATTTAATAATTTTAATTATTCATTCCCAAAAACCTGAACAACAATATGGGTTATTTAACAAATTACCAAAAACAAACATGCCTTCTACATCTACATAATATTTCGTTGTTTATAGAGGTGTTTGTATAGCGAAATATTCCATTGAAACTATAAATTCTGAACGTATAATTTTATTACATATAGTATAATAGTACTGTAGTTATATTGTTTTTACTTTTTTTTTCAGTTTAATGTATTAATCAAGTGGCATATATTGACAAAGACAAGATGATACATACAAGTTTCGTCTACTTACATAGAAGAGTGTAATTGGTATTTTCAACCTGAATAGTACTTTATGTACACCTGGGTTAAACTGCCAGTTGAGAAAAACCTAGGTTTCAGGTAAAGTTGTCCCTAATTTTGAACTTCTAATTACGTAAAAGGCAACCAACCATCACCACCTGTCACCAGTAGGGCAGTGCCTGGCTCTTTGAAGCAAATAACATGATTCACTTTCACTTTTATATTTCCACAGATGATGTGCAAAGCATGTTCAGCAGCATCACTTCAATGTGCAGCAAAACATGCTAACCATTAGGTTATATCTGGCCTGAAGTAAAATTGAATGGCAGTTGTAAAGAAATACTAAAAAAATTGATACTATAAATCAAATTTACAAAGGAGAAATTTTAATCAATACTAATTCCAGAATTATGCATCTTTAAGTTAAAACAAACATTCCTTAGATGAACTACACATTTATCAGTTAAAGTACACCATTTTTAACAAAACGTAAAATCCAGCTTTACTCATGGGAGTTTATTATGATGACTGCAGATAAAGTTAACATGACAAAAGACCCAACAAAAAGATGTTTGACTCATTCAACTTAGTAGAAAAACTATTTATTCATATCACACACAAATTCGGTTTTTGATATACTTTTATGACATAATATATATCAATGACGAAATTATATATGACTTATTAAAGTGTAATTTTTTTCATATCAAGAATGAAATTATAAAAAAATTCTTCTATGATAGGACAAATTACAAGTAACTATTAAGTAACTATGATCCACAGTGTATATACTGTTGACAATAGAATATTCAATAATAGATATTCATACATACATACACAAACCAAGTTAACATAAAAATAAAATTTTGAATGAACCTATCTCCATAAATACAATGTTAGCAGAAATGAAATTGGTATGTTTCAATTCTCCTGTTTGTAGCGAATCATACAACTTAGACTCTCAGTCCGGAATTTTGAGGTCTTTGAAGGAAGTGATAATGCAGAAATCCCAGTGAGTGGAACAGGAAGCTGTCGAATGGTGTATGAAATGCCTTCATCCAGCATATACAGCTCATTCCGTGTAAGAGCATCCAGTTCATGACTATTCATGCCACCAATGATGTACAAACAAGATTCTGTAAAATAACAATTAATTCGTTTAGAATTAAAACAATTGTTAGTTTTACTTATATTCAAAATAAATTTCTTCAAAATGAACCAGCATATCCACAATATATACAAATTTTTTATTTCAAATAATGTAATTACTATAAAACAACTGATTTTTTTAAATGCAAGTAACTATACACCTGGAAAAAAGTTAAGCACCCCCGTGTTTTTTTCAAGTGATTCAGATTCGACGTTCTTGTGACT